GGGGCATGTGACTGTTTGTGGATTCTCACACATATGTAGTATTTGCTCTGTTGTACACCTGTGTGCACACACATATGTAGTATTTGCTCTGTTGTACACCTGTGTGTGCACACATATACATACACACACAGACACACACACACACATATATATATATATATCTTTTATTTCAAACTATATTTATTATTAAAGATGCTATTTTGCAACTGATGTGAAATCATTTGAACCAGAGCTAAATTTACATTTTCATGTTGATACTGTTGCCTGGGGCATGTGACTGTTTGTGGATTCTCACCTATTACAAGAAGCTTCATGTAGTTGGGGTACAATTTGTGGTAGGTCTCTTTCTGGTTAACCCTTGTTTCCCCAAGTTCATCCATATTTCTTTGTTTTCCAGTAACAGTAAGTACAAGGGATATTCCCACCTTGAAAACTCTAAAATCCCAATCTGAACACATCTTTATGACCTGAATGTATGAATACTGTTTATAGGAAAGTGCTGTTACATAACCTTTCAAAAGGTGACCAGTTTTCAGTGGCATCAATTGTAATTCTGAACAATGTCAAAATGTAGTTCTTATACATTATGTTCCACCATGACTTTACATCAGCTGTAGTTGTCATGTGTCTTGCTGATTTGCAAATTCAAATTCGTTTTAATATTACAAACTCAGCACTGTATATACTATTATACTTGTTAAATTGTCATCTTGTATTAGCCCCCATTGGCTCAGTGTTAAGCCTTACAGCTTATAATATTAAAAATCAGGATTCAATACCAGTACTGGACACAGTAAGGATAGCCCGTGATGTCGTTTTGTATTTAACAGCAACATACAAAATCTTGCATTATATTTTTACCAAAATAAGTGAACTTTATGGCCCAGCTTTCTACAAGAAAAATAAAGAGAATGAGTAGTTGTTAGGTGTCATAAGATGCCGAATTAGCATTTTGGATATGATGGACTATAGTTATCTAATATAAAGTAACCTTTAACATCAGTCTGTTTGTCTATCCCCCCTCCATTGGATCAGTGGTAAGTCTAAAAGCTCATAACATTCATTGTGTAATTTTTTGCTTAACATCAAACAAACAGTTTATCTATTGTAGTGACCTTTACTACCAGTCTCTGTTGCTTCTATTTTATCCAAAGTATACCAACTGTTACTATCAACCTCTTTAGCCCCTAAGAAGATATTTACACAGTAGTGGGTGAGGATTCCACAGCATGAAGTCGATGTTTACATAGTAGTGAGTGAGGATTATCAAGCATTAAATATGTGTTTACACAGTAGTGGGTGAGGATTCCACAGCATGAAGTCGATGTTTACACAGTAGTGAGTGAGGATTATCAAGCATTAAATATGTGTTTACACAGTAGTGGGTGAGGATTATCGAGCATTAAATATGTGTTTTCACAGTAGTGGGTCAGGATTATCAAGCATTAAATATGTGTTTTCACAGTAGTGAGTGAGGATTCCACAGCATCAAGTCGATGTTTACACAGTGGTGAGTGAGGATTATCAAGCATTAAATGTGTGTTTACACAGTAGTGAGTGAGGATTATCAAGTATTAAATATGTGTTTACACAGTAGTGGGTGAGGATTATCAAGCATTAAGTGTGTGTTTACACACTAGTGGGTGAGGATTCCACAGCATGATGTTGGTGTTTACACAGTAATGGATGAGGATTCCACAGCATGATGTCGGTGTTTACACAGTAGTGGATGTAGGTTCCTTAGCAGTAGTATAGTGAGTTTTATCATGTCAGAAATTATTCTAAATTTAGGTATTCATTATAAATATGGCCCACTTGCTTTGTGTAGAATCCAAACCACAAGAAGACCACTTGGACCAGGCAAACTAATTGTATATACATGGTTTGCCTCTGCTGCTTCTTTGGCAAAGACCATTTGGCTAATGGCTGTAGCACAACATCAGTTTCACTTGGACTGCAGTCATGGCAGGGTAAGTAGTAAGTAAACCAGCACTGGATGTAGAGTAGGTTTAGGTAAACTGGGTATAGAATAGGCTTAAGTAAACTGGGTATAGAATAGGCTTAGGTAAACTGAGCCTGTAAGAATTATAAAGCTATGCAAGTTCAGTGATTATATCAGTAAAATTTACATTTACCAAAGGATGAATCAAGGTGGAAATTTCGTCTCCTGTTCATTAAACTATAATTTTATTTACTCATTGATAAGTTTGTTATCAAGTGTTTCTGTTAAAAGTTAGACATTTTGACAAATCAGTGTTGGCCTGAGGCTAAATCACTTAATTATCGCAACTGGATTACGTCTCTTGTTTATTAAACTACAATTATTTTACTCATTGATAAGTTTGTTATCAAGTGTTTCTGTTAAAAGTTAGACATTTTGACAAATCAGTGTTGGCCTGAGGCTAAATCACTTAATTATCGCAACTGGATTACCAGGTGATACTTTCAAATTTCTCTGTTTGTCAGAAACTGGAGCAAAGTTTAATGTAGGTTTAAGAACTAACATCCAGTTCTTTATATAAGATCAAATAAAAATTATTCTCACTTAAACACGTTTTCATTCTTCCTTGATGTGTTATTCAATCTTCAGGTTAAAACTAGATTCTGTAAAAACCAACATGGAGATCTGGACTCCTTATAAGTACATTGTTTATGTTTTTTTATCAGATTAATGTATTAATATCTAGATTCTGTACAATAAACACATAAATCTGGATTTCTTATAAATACATTCATTGTTTGTGTGTTATTAAGTCATCAGATTAACGGGTTAAAACTAGATTCTGTGCAAACCAACACTAAGACTTAAGTTTCTTTTAGACCTTCCAGTTTGCTGGTTAGTTGTGAGAACAAAAACTCATTTGAATTACTAATTCTTATCTTGTT